ATGGCTAATTTTCTGATATTTGTAGACGAGGAAATGTCATTCTCGCCGATTTGCAAGAACACAACATCCGGGATAGTGTCAAAACACAAAAGTTCGGAGCGTGAATCACATTTACTCAATTTCAGTCCCCCTTTTCCTCTGAAAATGACTCTAAATTCCTTAGGATCCAAACCAAATCTTTCATCCCTGCTGTATCACAAAATTCCTTCAGTCTTCTGATGTACGAATGTCCGATCACACAAACGTTCAATGCCGACATGGTCTATTGTTTAGCTAACTGTACCCCAACCGGAACCAACTCAAAAGATAGTCAAGCGCATTCACAAAAATGCGTTGCAACAAGCTTACAATTCAGGGATTAAACGTAGGATTCTTTCCTTTTTTACTGTGCCAAATTTTTTTTCTATTACTGATAGCGTCCATAAAGCGAGAATGACCCAGCGCTGACTTAGTTACAGTTACAGACAGCATTAAAACACGTGATTATGATGGACATCTCTGATTGGCTGATTGTCTACGAAGGGGTAAGGTTTGACCATGAAAAATTTGGAGTTGCATAACTAGCTGTCGAAAATGAAAAAATGGGGGAAATTACATAACATGGAACCTGACACTTGCAAGGCCTGAGAGAATTCCAGCAAATGGAGAAAAATCAAAACATTCAGGTTGAACAATAAAATAGACAATCTAATTACTTACATTTAGACAAAAGAAAATAAACAGCATTCAACTCATAAATGAAATTATTTACATAATTGTTGTTTTTGGAATTGTCTTTCAGGATAGCATGCCAACTTACAGGTACCATTCAAATTGCATTGAAAATTTAGCAAAGAAATTGATTTTATTTCTGCATTATTTTCGACCAACATTTTATTTTCAAGATAATAAAAGAACGCAATCAATACGTAATGAATAATAAAACAGCCATTATGTTTCATATAAAATCATGCAAACATTTCTCACTTATTATCACTCATTTAGGAAACCTTCACTATGTCATTCCTGGTAGAGGCAATATTTTTATATTTTCTGTTCTCTTGCAATATGTCTTTGAATGCAGACAAGTGTCATTCTCTGTCATATTTTGGAGGTATTCCTAAAACATTTGATATGTATGTTTTCGAGACAATAACATCTTTTTCTTACTCCATGATGGCAACATGTTCCAGCAAATGTGCAGAAAATCCGAAATGCTTGGCTGTGGACATCTGTGATTCTGACGAAGAAAAGTACTGTAGACTTGTAAAATCCTTAAATTTTACGTCTACATCTACAGACGACTACAAACAAACCTGTAAAAGATACAAAGTGGTAATTATACTTTTACAAAATATATCTATTATAAAATTTGTGCTATGAAATTTAATTAGTTAAAAATCATCTAGCAATTGATCTATTTTTCCCAAATTTTGCTTTGTGTTTACGTTCATGAATATTTGTATATTTTCTCAGGATTCGAGATGTGATGATGATAAATATTTTGACAGAACTCGCAAGCAGTGTTTAATAAAAAGTACATGTACGTATATCTATATAGTTTGCATTATAATCTCAATAATCTAAAAAAAAAAAAGCACGTATAATTTCCATATATAGCTTTTAATCTGTCTTTTCAAATGAAAGTTGAAAGACGAACTCAATCTGATAAGTTAAGAATGCACAAAACAACTTCTGCTATCAAAACGAAATGTTTTTAAATAAAATCAATAATTGATTGATTGATTGTATGTTGCTTTACGTCCCTTTTGCGAATTTTTCACTCAAATAAAAACGTCACCATAAACCAGTGAAACATAACTCGAGAATTTTTCACACATATGAAGACGTTACCGTATGCCGGTGATCGGCTTAAAATTTTGACCTTTACTCGACACTAGGGGTCTATGAGCAGTGAGGGTTCTTTATCGTGCCAACAGCTGCCGTGATACAGGGTCTCTGTTTTTAAGGCCCAATGCGAAAGACCCTCAACTTTCACTTCAAAGTGCCGAGTGCATGGCGAAAGAATAGTTGCTCCCCTTTTTTTATAGACTTAGGTCAGTCGGTGGATTGCCTAAAATTTGAAAATTGCTATGAACACGCGTTTATCAAGTGAATTCAAATCAAAGATGAGACACTTAATATTTAGTGATTTGTAATGTACGTTACCGAGTAGTACTTTCCTTATCATAAACACCTTTTCTAGAAAATAAAAATTGGATTTCTTTGAGGTTAACGATTATAACAAAGTTGAGAAAAGTATTGGTATGAAAATTTCTAGCTGATACATTTAAGTATACTATAACTTATGTGCGGACATGTGTAACAAAGTAATTGTTCAGTGAATAAAATTTATTCAAGGTACAGTACCGACCGCACACAACCTAACAGAAAGCAAACCCAAATCGCACCCCATGTTTGCTCTTTGGGTCCGCTTTGGATTCTCTCGGGATCCGCTATGGCTGATCCCGAGCAAACCTGGAGCGAAACCAAAGCGCACCCGTAACGGACCCCGAGCGAACCCGAATCGGACCCAGAGAGCAAACCCAAATTTGGTAGCTGTCGCAGGACCCGAACGCGCGTTAGGCATTGCTTTACAGAGCTGTCAATCACGATTAGCGATTAACTAATCAGCGCCTCGACCAATCAAAATGGCATATTTATCTGTCGAATGGGATAAAAGCTTCAATGTTGATGTTATTCGATATAAATCCAAACACTGAACTTACAAGCAAATTGTGTTAATGTTCGGTGTAAATCTATTACACTAATTATGATATTATTTTATATTTAGTTATTTTAATTCTCCGGTCTGTATACTATCTTTATATATTGATTTTCTTTTTTTTAATCAAAGCAGTTGATACATTAATTTACATATTTTAATTCTGCAGATAGAATGTTACATGTACAGTTCTATATCTACCCATGTATTTTATTTAGTGTTTTATATTTAAAGTCTATTGAAAAATATATATTGGGTAAAACAGTGCGACGTTTAACTCCGGACACGACATAGTCCGGACTTTTTACTATCATTTCTAATTGTCATGTTCATAAAAATGTTATAGCACCTGGTTGGGATTTCTTAACAGTATCACATATTCTCATGTTGAACTCATAGACATCTCTACTTTAAAAGATATGAAGTCCTAAGTATCAGAATCCCAAGAGAGAATGGTGGGATTTTCAGTCCCCCCAGCTATCCCACCATTCTTCCATGGGAGAAAAATTTCAGATGGGAGAAAAATTCCCATCTGAGATTTTTTAGCAGAATATGTGATACTGCTAAGAACTCCCACCAGGTGCTATAAAATCTTTTTGGACATGACAATAAGAAATGGTAGTAAAAAGTCCGGACTATGTTGTGTCCGAAGTTAAATGTCGCACTGTTGTAAATATATCAGTCAAAGCGAAAATGAAAAAAAGAAGATTTTTACTGAAAAGAGAGGAGAAAAGAAAGAAAAGCTGACAAAATGTATGATTTCACCATCTCAGGCACATTACAAGAATATGAACGTGTCCTAGCTTATTCGATCATTTTATATCCGTTTTCCCAATTTACATGTTCCTTTAAATTATTTAAAATTCACATCAGTATTATTGATCTTCTTAAGTAGGAATGTAAACATTCAATGTACATCGTCCTGAATATCATTTGGGGAAAAAATAGCTGCAGCAGTCTTATAGAAAACAATTCAAGTACAGGGTGGCAAGGACGAGTCATCAGGCTTTATTATTAAAATGTAGTCTAATGATGAGATTTTACAGTAACAGTGTATTGATCTTTTTTGGATCTTGATTTTTCCTGTATTTATCTATATTTAAATATTTAGAAATATTTTTGTTCAAAAATAATTTTAAATTTCATCAATGAGTGTATATGAAGTGGCGGGGAGGGGGATATACTTATATATTCTTATCGGGAGAACAATTACTATTATGTCGCCCCAAACGAAGTCGGGAGCGACATATTGCGATTGTACGCATGTTTTTGTTCTCCAGGCTGTTTCTCAGAGATGGCTGGGACAATCTTCCTGAAACTTTCCCTAAAGGACGATCACTGTTTTTAGTTGTGTTGTGTGGTCATTCAGTTTCAAAATGGCTACCGTATCTATGGAAATCTGTAAAAAGCGACGAATTTTGTCCGAGAATGTTCTCTCTTGTCCCTTTGACATTCGTCGTGAAACTTTATTGATTTAATGATTAGTATCTGTAATTGTGTGTGTTGCATTTAAAAATTGCAAATTGTCAATAGTTGCCATAGAAACATGGGAAAAGTGAAAATTCTTTTTTCTTTGATTTTTAAATCAAAGTACTGAAAGGATTGATACGATTTGATGGTTGTCCAAGCTTAGCTTATGGGTGTTGTTTTAGTGATGAAAAATTGAAAGTCTTGTCCAGTTCGGGGAGAATACGCTATTGCTTGCAATAGCAGACTTTCTAGTTAATTTTGTCATTTAATTTTTTTTCATTCTGATTAAAATCATACTCGATCCATGATTCTGAGCATAATAAAGATCTGATATAATCAATTTTATGTAGAAAAATGTCTGATGAAGATTCATCACGAAATTTCAATGTGTAACTACATGTTCAATAAATGAAATCTATACATATTACGTGTACAGTAGGTTAATTTATAGATGAGACACAGGATGAAAAGCCAGGTTTCCCAAATTTGGAAACCCGATGGAAACATATGGGAATCGTGACATCAGTAGTTTCCATATAGTTTCCATTTTATGGAAACCACATAGTGGTTTCCACATAGATTCCCGACATGGAAACAATCAACCTGTGGTTTCCCGTAAGTTTCCCAAGATAGGAAACCATGGAAACATACCCCGGTGGTTTCCACATAGTTTCCCGACATAGAAACAATCAACCTGTGGTTTCCCGTAAGTTTCCCAGGATAGGAAACCATGGAAACATGCCCCGGTGGTTTCCATGTAGATTCCCGATATGGAAACAACCAACCTGTGGTTTCCCGTAAGTTTCCCAAGATAGGAAACCATGTAAACATGCCTCAGTGGTTTCCATACAGATTCCCGACATGGAAGCCACCAATGTGTAGTTTCCCCCATGTTTCCCAGGCAGGGACACTTTGAAAGTAAATCTCAATACTAACCCACCTACCTTTTATTTTACAAAAAGTTAAATATTTAAATATGTTACCATATTTTTACCAATGATAGAAATATTTCAAAAATGATTACATGCTGTATCAAAATAATTAACTTCAAACAGTTAAAATAACTAGATGTGTATTTCTGTGTGATTAATTTAATATTTCAGCACCGTGAACGCAATTCAATTTTAATTTAATTTTGTTTTACTGAATTCTATTTAATTTAATTCAATTTTGAATTTGATTTATCACATAAGGTTTGGTAAACTCGTATAGAATGCGTGAAGTGGAATAGAAAAAAGTAAGTGCATGCAGTTATGTAGAAATCAATCAGAACCGATCCCACTTTCTTGAAGCTGTCTATGATGAATGTTCCTTTGAAAAAATGGAAGAGCTAAGGAAGGGTACATTTAATGAAATTATTTACAGAAAAGGTTTACTAAAAACTTCGATTAAAAAGTAAATAAAGAAATATGTCAAATTACGATTACTGATTAAGGACAGGTGAGACGTTCCTCAATAAAATAATTAATTTTTTTTCCAGTATTTTGCAACTGACATTGAAGAATTATTTTTACATAATTACATGTATTCACAAGACATCAAGGTACCTTACTAGGCATTTGTGTTAGATACCAGAGGTTGGCATTTCTTTTATATCGGGGTAATCCGTCAGGAAAAAAAATACTTCAGTTGGTTTGTCAAAATGACATTTTTAGTGTTTCAAGTTTTTAAATACAAGTTTAGAAAGTGATAAAGATTTTGTTTTAATATGAATTAATATATTAATATAAACTGGTCAGATAAGAATCATTCATCGAATTGGCTGGGGGTTGAGTATTATCATACTAGTATTTTACTATTAATAGTGAATATTGTTTTTTTTTTAAATTTATTAAATTATTATTTTTATTATTGGGAGTGGGTGCGTTGCTTTTCATTTTTTCCTTGAGAAGGCCCCCTCCCCCCCAAAAAAAAAACGCTTTTGAAAAAGTCACTATGGTCGGCCTGTGTAATTAGGGACACCTGTCCTCACGTGCCATTTCAGGTGGAGACACGTGCCGCAAAGACACCTGTCACTGTGTATTTTTTGTATATTCTATGTGAATTGAGACGGTTTTGTACCTAAAGGGAACAATGGGCTGTCGTCGAGCATGTACACACACAGTCTCCTACCGAAAATTCTTTTAAATTAAGATGATGATTCGTGTTCCTTTTATCATTTAAAAAATTGTATATTCCATAAATAAAGTTATACAAGAGAACATATTTATAAAATAACCTACATTTAAGAAGTTCAATGAAAGAACAAACTATTTAGAATTTTTATTTCAATTTTCATTACTGATTTAAAATAAAACTATCCTCTTTAGAAATTAAATAATTTTCTATAGGTATTGAATAGATCTTAATTCTCGTCGTGTATAATTATATTAAATCAGAATGACGTTAATAGATCAATGTGAAATCAAAACTGTATTTAATATTGTTGATGGGTTTTTTGTGTGAAATTTGTAATCTAACGTACTACAAAGACATTGATTAGATAAATGTTTATAATATAATTCATCACATAAAACGGTTGTTTTTTTTTTTTTTTTGTTTAAATATGTACGCAGATCCCCGTGTAGTAAACGCCTGCACTTTTCGCATGAAATTAGAATGTAGGGTACATTATATTTAACAAACTTTAAAATTTTCAGATATTTTTTTTTCTCCAAAGGCCATTGCTCTAGATAAAGGAAAGTCTATAATATTTTGCATGATTTTGTTTTCCTTAAGAACAATGGATTTTAAAGTAGTGCATGCTAAGGCAATCTATTAAAATAATTAATTGTATAATTAATTCATTGTATAATTGTCACGATTGTATTTTTGTGCATTTTTTGTTGATTTCATTCTATAAAGGTATAAAGTTTGTCAATACTTCAACAAACATTTCTTTATCTATGTTGTACACTACTTTATTTTTATTCGCCGACATGCTACTCTTTAAAAAAAAAAAACTTGCGTGACTAATAGACTTGATCTTCAGGCCTGTAGGAAAGTAATTTCCCTTAGAGTAATAAACTAACCGGGATTTTATTTTTACTAGTATACCTTACCAGATTTCTTAACGAAAAAAAAAAACCATTAAAGAATACAGGGCGGGACCAGCAGCTAAAGCTGTATGCATAAGTGCAGCCCTGCACATCAACGAGTATAGATGACTTTCGACATAATCTTTCCCATGACTTCACTTATACCAATCACGACTAAAATACTGAATTAAAATACTGTTATATGTTCCTGCCTTTGATAAGATGTTAGTTTTGTTCCACCTAGAGATATAACTCTCCTAAGAAAAAAGGTTTTCAACATATTCTGATTCATTTTTAAGACAATTTTACGTGTTAAAATGATGTGTGAATTTTTTTTTAGCTAAAAGCCAAGGAGTTTAAAGTACAATGTACATGTAGCAATTAGAGAAAAGTCTAGCAGGTCCACCAGTAATATTGATAGCAGGCTCAAAATCTAATTAAACCCCGAAAAGGAGGGAGTTCAATTAGTAATTTAACCCCCCCCCCTAAAAAAAAACACAACAATTTATTAGCAATGAATTATTAATCACCGAACTTTTCAATCATCACTATTGAAATAAAAAAAAACTGTTCTTGATAATCATATTATAATTGTAGCTCATTTTCATGCCTTTTAGGATTCCTGTGGAAAGTTCACAATAAAAAAAATGTGCCTTTAAAAATTTAACATCTGTTAGTGTGACATTATAAATTCATAATCATACATGTAACAGTTAAAAGAAGCGGGGAGAGGGGGGGGGGTACTTTCAGCAAGGACGGCAACTAAAAACAACCAAGCCCCGAAACCCATATCCCGAAGGCAAATAAGTTGAGGTGTCGAGCAAGAATTTTTTTCTGCTCTTGCCTCATGTATTTAACCGTTTTTTTTTCTAAATATACTAGGCCTACACATCATATCGGCAAAAATATTTAGGAGCCCCTCTTTTTATTCCACGAAAAGGGGAAAACTTAATTAAATTCTAATATAAGATCTCAACAGTTTATATTTCCCATCCTGCATCGCTCTGTAGGCGCTTTATTTCATTGGTCAATTTCCCGAGGCGCCATTTTTGGAGGATCGAGAAGGACGAAGACGAAGGTGTAAGCAGCTGGTAAATGTGAAAAGTAAAGATGGTTTCACCACCCAGTGTCTTTAAGACTGTGATAAATGCAATGGCCAACTATGAAGGATTAGTGTACGTATATTTTTGTTAACTTTTTACGGTAAATAGTTGTAATATTTGGCAACAACAAATCTTCACTATCGGAGGCAACTTTTACTCTGACGCCATTTTGAAAAGTTGGATACCTAAGTTCTAAATTGTTAAGTGTATATATTGCAGAGAGAAAGAGAGAGAAAAAAAATTTGAGACAATGATTTAGCATAACTTACATTATGGAGGCCCCAAAGGCACCGTGCATGTGCATGCTGTATGTTGTAAAATGGCAACGTTTCGCCTTTTATCATGTTTATTAAAATGTATGCTTCATATGTATGTTCTCTCTCTATATATAAATGAATACTTTTCGGAATTAAAAAAAAAATATTTTTAACCCCGCTCAAATTATCCGGATGATAATAGTTTCACCGAGCATGGTTTTGTAGTTAAATTCAGACCGTAGAATATCCGGTTTGAATACATGTGTTTTCTGACTTTTCGGATAGCCAACTCTTGTTTTTTGGAACTTACGACTTATGGCAAGGTATAAATGAAATATTTTTGGTTCAAAACTTTGATGAAAGCATCGATATTTTTACAAAAAGTGTCTTCATTCTCAGCTTATCCGATTATTCATGAAGGATATCCTCATCAGAACAGTTGGAATAGATTGTAGGGAATAGCATAACCTTAATCATATGCATGACGATGATATTGAGGAAAAATATACATAAAAAAGTGAATGTAGGTGAAAGCCTGTCCACTTTTCTGAAGAGATTAGGTTTGTTTTATTGTTTATTGAAATAGTTTACTGCTCAAAAGATTTTTTTTGTAATGTCTAATCTGTTGAGATGAAGATGTAAAAAAAGAAAAGCCTAATAGTGAATTAATATTTATAGTATGTCAAGAAATGCAAATGAATCATCAGCTTGAATTATCAGTTTTTTCACAATTATTGACCTGAGTAGGACAATGTATAGCGAATAATACATAATCTTTTCCATATCACATCCTAGCCCGATACACCAATATCAGCCAGAGGGACAGAGGCCCTAGGGCTGATATTGGTCAAAGGTCTGATACAGGATGTGATGTGGAAAAGGGTATGTTTCATTATGTTTATTACAAACTTGGTAATAAAATACAGAACACTTCAAGTTGAGAAGATCAAGAAAATAAGTAAATAATCATGCACAATAAAACTAATTACATACATGTACACAGTATTGTCTTACTGAACAGATTTAGCTGTCATTAGGTCAAAATTGATCCCTCGAAGTCAAAATGCAGTCCCGCTGTGCTGTGAATTTTACCCTTGATACCTTGAAGTGGCTGTGTGTATACCAAGTTATAATGTTCAAACTTTTGCCATAACTGTATATCTGTGTGTCTGTCTGAGTGTCTGTGGTCAACTTAAACCTTCACCATAACTTTAGTACTTACTACTATACGAGATAGTGGCTTCATATTTAGTATGCATACTCCACTAATGAAGTGCTTTCAAATGGCAACAAGGACAATGATTATGTGATCTTGACAGTGACCTGTAACAGTATGCTAAAAAAATTGCATTTTCGAACTTTGTTGCTGTGTTTCACAAGCGCTTCTTGTTTTTAGCTCTACTTGTCAGAAACCAGAAGAGCTTATGCGATAGTAATGCGTCCGTCCATCTGTCTAGCTGTCCGTCCGTCTGTCTGCAAACACTACTCCTCCTTAAATTTTAGTCTGATTTCAGTATAACTTGACACACAAGTAGACTGTACTAAGATACATAATTCTGTGCATCAGTTTTTGATAAGTACAAACCAGTAGAGCTACAGTCTTGACAGAGACTTCTGGTTATTTTTTCTTCCATCCCAGTTGTTGCTAATGCTATTACATAGTTAGTTTAAATTAGAATGCAATAGTACCTGGACATAATTTATCATTTCAGAGAGAAGAAAACTGTGTGACTTTAAAAGAAAACCAGTGAGATAAAATTATAGAAAATGTATCATGATTCAGGATGTGGTCATTTGGTAAGTGGTAATTCATTCATGATTAGTATGTATATGACAATTGCCTGAAAAAAAAAGATTCTAAATTTTATTTAAATACTGAACTGTGGTATATCAGCTGTGAGCTACAAGAAGTTTTATGTAAAAGCTAGGGCTGAAACAATTTGCCCCCTCCATGTTATGTTTGTATTGCTATGATTGACATACAATCAGTTCTCTAATACACACACTTCAATAAAACTTTGTCGTCTTGAACCTGAATTGAACAGGAAAAAACTCTGAGATCTCTACAAAAATTTGAATGAAAAAAAGGAAATGCTTATTAACTGATTTCTTGCTGGTCAGTATTTTGATTACTTAAAGGAAGCTCTAAAAACTGCACACTAAAGAGTTCTACTTTAATATCAGGTTGTTTTATGAAGTTAAAGTGATCTGCCCATAGATTAAGATTATGAAAAATGTTATTTTACAGTCAGATTATTTTTAATAGATTAAATTATTTTTAGCATTATTAAAAAAAAAAAAGGAAATTAATTATTTTCTTAAATTTTCCAATGTAAGTAAACAGCAATGATTTCTGCTTACAGTCATAGTCCATTGTCTTTGAAAATTTCTTGGGGAAATGAGGCACATACTATATGTTCTAAATGAATAAAAAAGGCTCATTATGCACATATTTATGTGAAATATGATAGATTTTTTTTCTCTTCAAGGAATAATTTCTGCAAGTCACTAAGTTTTTAGAGTTTCCTTTATTTTATAGATATTCAATGAAATTATTTGAAGTATTAAATTTTGGTAAATTTTATGAAACTAAAAGGTTATATGGATGAAAAAACAGCATGCGTCACGTGTATGACAATCAGGGCTTAAATTTTTAATGTCTTTTAATTTTTCAGTGACATTAAAACAGGAATTGTCATCACCAATAGACGAATTTCACATTCCTAAGAATTATCTCCTGTTGTCGGTGTAATGCTCATTTTCCCCACTTTGTCCTTTGTAAGTTATCTGTTAATATTTTCAATCTTCAAAAATATTGGACAATTACGATCTGTATCTGTATTGCCAGAGTATGGGGGCAACATGCAAGTCATAATGATAATGTTCATACAAATTTTATTTCTAAGATATTGTCCCTCAAAGTTGATACGGTTAAAGAGGGAAAACAGCGTCTTAAGCAGGTTGACCCCACATAGACCCTGCGAAGGGGAATAACTTTTGTAAATGTGAAAGTCCTTTGTGGTATATCATATAGATCTAAAACTGACTGAATTTTGATCAGCCAATTCATGAACATGATGAATGGATGTAAATAATGTTGGTCAATATATGTAAAAAAAATTAAATTACTTGTTTATATATACATTTGTGGTATCTCTCCCATTGAAGTTTATAAACTTGTTATTGTCCCCCGCTTTCGCGAAAGCGAGGGGATATTAAATCTCATTCGTCTGTCCGTCAGTCTGTCAGTCGGTCAGTCTGTCAGTCTGTCCGTCACAAAAACTTTAACCTTGCCCATAACTTTTGATTTAGTGGAGCTATGACTTTCATATTTCACATGTGTATTCCTTAATTGTGACAAGACCTTTTCTTCGGTACCACCAAATCTGACCAATTGACCTTGGAGTTTGAAACACTTTTACACAAAAGTTCCAAACTTTTACTTTGGCCATAACTTTTGAAAAGTAGGTACTAGGACTTTCATATTTCACATATTTATTGTTCGTGGCAACATCTTTCACTGGATAACAACAACCTTGACCTTTTGAACTTGACCTTGGAGATTTACGTACTTATGAAAAAACTTTATTTTTGACCATAACTTTTGAACAGTGAGGACTAAGGCTTTCGTACTTCACATATGTAATCCTTGTGAGAAGACCTTTGATTGGATACCAACAACTTTTACCCTTTGACCTTGACCTTGGAGTTTTAACTACTTTTTAAAATAATTAACCTTGGTCACAACTTTTAAACAGTGGATACTAGGACTTTTATATTTCACATATGTATTCCTTGTGGCAAGTCATTTCATTGGATACCAACAACCTTGACCTTTTGACCTTGACTTTGGAGATTTACGTACTTATGAAAAAACTTTAACCTTGACCATAACTTTTGAACGGTGAGGGCTAGGGCTTTCGTACTTCACATATGTAATTATTTTGAGAAGACCTTTGATCTTTTTCCCTTTGACTTTGACATTGGAGTTTTCAACAACTTTTTTAAAAAACTTAACTTTTGTCCCAAGTTTTGAACGGTAGATACTAGGATTTTTATATTTCACATATGTATTTTTTGTGGCAAGTCATTTCATTGGATATCAACAGCATTGACCTTTTGACCTTGTCCTTAAAGATTTATGAAAAAACTTTAACCTTGACCATAACTTTTGAACAGTAAGGGCTAGAGCTTTCATACTTCACATATGTTATTCTTGTGAGAAAACCTTTCATTGGATATCAACAACTTTGACCCTTTGATCTTGACCTTGAAGTTGACCTACTTTAAATTTTTTTTTTACTTTTCCATAACTTTTTAACGGTCAGGATTAGGGTTTTCATCCTTCAAAAAAAAAATCAACTTCAATGTTTCTTTCTAAATAAATGACATATGATAAGATGTTCATATTACACACAATATGTTATAAAAAATAACTTCTCACCCACAAAGACACCGAAAGCGGGGGACCCCAATTCTTTGAATTTGCTTGTTTATTTCTTAAATAAACTGAGCGTACATGCAATACCGGTATAAAATTACTCATAAGACACATGTATACTTAAACCATGATAAAATCATATGTGTCCAATGCAGCATATGATAAATCATTAACATACAAGTACATGTGTATATATACTGTAAAACATATATATTGCATTATTTTTAGGTCCTGTTCTGTGGATGCCCTTAGACAGTGTCTACCCATCACTCCATCTGAAATCACTCGTTCTGTGCATATTTCTCTCTCAAACTTAAACTACAGAGAGCCTGTGGATAGAGGATGAAGAGTGACCTTGGACTAATTTTCTAGGTCAAAGGTCAGTATCAAAATCTACTGTATATCTTTTTTTAAAATCGTAGTCCAAAGTGTATTTCTCCCCTGGTGTAATCTAGCTTTTGTGCAATGAGGTGGAGGGTCTGCAATGATCTTCAACCAATTTCTAGGTCGAATATCAAAATTAAAAAAAAAAATCTCTCCCTAATATTTTTGTTATTATAAAGGGTACTGTATACAGGGAAATTTTCGCCCCCGTTTTATTTTCGCCCCTTTCGTCCTACCCTCATTTGGGCCAATTTAAAACGGGGCGAGTTCAAAGAATACAGTAATATTTCGTTAACAATAACTATGACTGGGCGAATTTAAAACGGGACAAAATTGTTCGCAAGTGTGAAAGGGCGAAAATAAGACGGGGCGAAAATAACCCTGTATACAGTATGTTTTCTCTCAAACTAATCAAACTTAAAGCAGGGTTCTTAGTATGAGATACATGTAGTAATATATTCTCAATGACATAATAAGGCTGAAAACATTATTTATATTATGTTATTTTTTTCACTTATCATAAAGTATTAAATATTAAAGAGATACATTAAATGCTGAAATCATATGTATCATGGTCATGGAAAGTAATTATTGATATTGGTATATTAAAGGACATTGACTGATCTTTCAGATTTCTAAGTTATATTCAAGCATTATAATTCTGACATCATATAATAATTTTGTATGAATATTGCAGATCATAGGTGATGTGAAGAAAACCAGGAAACTGATGTTGAAAGAAGTACTTAATGACCCTTATGAATGAACTTAAATGTGAAAGACTGTTCCATTGTTTATCTAAGATATATGAATTTATTTAATATTTTGATATCATTGAAAAATTCAGTTACAGTTTTTGTACATCAAATGAATTATTAAACATATAAAATGGTAATGCTTTTTTCTTTTACATGTAATAAATTTTTTTGATAGATTTTTAAAAGAATACGCATTATTTCACATTGCTTCCTTTAGAAAAGTTGGGGAATCTTGAAGTTTCCCAGTAATTTCCACCAGGAATGAGACTCCAGATAATTCCACCAAGTTTCCGCCACACAGAAAGTGCTACACAAGTTCCATATAGTTTCCTGAGTCAAGGAAACTTCAGGAATCATAAGGTTTCACGAGCTTCCATGTAGTTTCCCATAAAAGAAAACCTTAAGATTCCATCAAGTTTCCATTCCACGGAAACCACTACGCTCATATTCCATATGGTTTCCTGAGTCAAGGAAACTTTAGGAATCGTGAGGTTTCCCGAGCTTCCATGTAGTTTCCCGTATAAGGAAACCTAAAGATTCCATCAAGTTTCCATTCCACGGAAACCCCCTACGCTCCGATTCCATATGGTTTCCTGAGTCAAGGAAACTTTAGGAATCATGAGGTTTCCCGAGCTTCCATGTAGTTTCCCGTAAAAGGAAACCTAAAGATTCCACCAAGTTTCCATTCCACGGAAACCCCCTACGCTCCGATTCCATCAAGTTTCCTGATTCTGGAAACCAGTGGAATCTTCAGGTTTCCCATTACGGGAAACTACATGGATGTTCGGGAAACTTCAGGTTTACAGAGGTTTCCGTGGTTCGGGATACCTTATGGAATCGGAGCGTACGGGGTTTCCGTGTCACGGAAACTTGGCGGAATAACCTAGCATCCGCTACGGAAACCACTGGGAAACATGATGTAAACTTGAGGTTTCCATGTGGTTTCCATAAAGTTTCCCATGATGGGAAACCACTTTTTTCACCCAGTGAGATAGCATAATTCATGTGTTTGAATGCCGAAGAAAAAAATGCCTAATAACCCGCTATTTTATAACTTAGAATTTCTTGGAATCAGAATTCCGAAATTGGAGAAAGCAAGGAAATCAATAATAAATTTACGTCCAATGTACATTTGAAGTTTGGAAAATTTATCAATGTTCTCCATAATGCCACTGTATACATGTATAGTGTACATGTCAAAGAGACCGTTTCAGCACATTTGGTTATATTCTTTCACCTTTCTACCCAGAAGACCCTAGATAAACTGATTCACATAAACAGAATAAAGTATGCAGATGTACGTGCACCTACGCCTAGAAACTTTCAGATTGCACGTTCAATCTACAAGGACCAAGCGGTTCAGATTTCTAGCATGAACCAGAAACACGTTGAGCTTAGTTCTTACCAAACAATGACTGACTCTGCTCTGCCAGAGTATAAAAAATCCACTTCTCGGGAGTCACATTCTGTGTCATCCACATAGTCGGAATCATCCGTCCATTCGTCAGCGGATCCCTACCCTACACCAACTGGGTTGCCTCGTCCACGACGCACAATACGGAAACACATTCGTTCGCAGGAAAACTGTGTCAATCCCAGTGGCATTTCGTCAACAGATGTTTGTTCTCCGACCATTCTCCACAAGCTTAAACGCACTCTAGTCAAAAGATTTTCTGGTCCTAATTTAGAATACCTTGTTCACTTTGTCGGGGAACCCTCACAAAAGGCCACTTGGGTTAAATGCGAGGATTTCAATGACACTGCGAGAAATATAGTGAAATCCCACTAATTGAAAATCTGTTGTTTGTACGGAAGCGTATTTGTTCCAGTTAACACTTTATATTTTTTTTTAATTTCTACACTTTAATCTGTAAATTTTACACTTTAATCTGTAAAATTGACACATTAACCTGTAAATTTTACACTTTAACGTGTAAATTTACACTTTAACGTGTAAATTTACACTTTAACGTGTAAATTTACACTTTAACCTGTAAAATTAATACTTAAATCTGTAAATTTTATAATTTGATCTGTCAATTTTACACTTTAATCTGTAAAATTTACACTTAAATCTGTAAATTTTACACTTTAATCTGTAAAAATCAACACATTAATCAGTAAATTTTTCACTTTTATCTGTAAATTTTAAACTTTAAACTGTAAAATTTACATTTCAATCTGTCAATTTTACACTTTAATCTGTAAAATTTAGACTTTTTTCTGGGTCCACTTCGGGTTCGCTCTGGTGTTAGGTTGTGTCTGGTCTGTACTGTTATTTGCACTTGGGGAATATCTTTCAGTACGTGAAAAAAGGAATTGTTACCGGTAGTAATTTATTACACGTTTTATGTACGCGAGTGTGGATTCTCATTACTAGACTACTATTTTCTCAGTTTTGCTCTATTTGAAAAGAGCACGAATTGAGTTTTCATGCATATCCTTAGGGTTTTCTCAAACGTGACAGTACTTAGAAAAACTTAATAGTAAGAGCTGAGAGTAAAGTGAAAAAAAAAATACAGGACACAATATTCCTTACTTCCCATCTATCTTCTGCTCAGTAAATCACCTTGCACATATATTTATCTTCGTTATCTTTTTTGGAGGATGGTGGGGGGTGGTGGTGCAAAGCTCTTACTATATTGTTTACTTGAAGAACACAAAATAAAAAAAATATATAAAAGCAAAACTTTTCGTCACTTTTCTGAAATCATGACAAATAATTTTTTCCACATCTGAACTTTGATTTGTAGTAGTAGTACGTGAGAACAAAAACCACCTAGTGCTTGCCTTGCAAATTATTTATTTTCGAAGCATAGAGTGCCGTGTTGAAAATCAGATCTTTGGATTTTCTCTACCTGTTTCTACAAACTTCTTATCAGAATTATTGAAAATATTATTTAATACATACTGCAGTAAGAAATTTTCCTTTTTTTATTTGAATATTTGTCCTTTGGAGTTAGGGGGGTCAGACCTGATATTTATAGCTAAATAATTTAATTTTCGTTGTAATGCGTCATTTGATTGGATAAAAAAATAATATAAATCGTATAATCTGGAATGCCTACGTAACAATGAACTTGCGTCAAAATCGTATCAATCCGCTTGACTTTACGTTTAAAATATGAACAATTTGAAGGCTTCGCGGTTAATGTAGCGTAAACTGTCCCAACCCAGGTTATACAGTATAATTTGGATTCCTATTTAATTCATTCCTTAAATGTCCTGTGTCTGGCTCACATTAGTAATGAGGTAGCAATAGGCAGAATTTGTATCCCTTTCTCTCCTGCCAAGGGCTTTATTACTCTCATTGCGACATTTTTGGACCGTCATTTAACAGGTAATACCTTTTCAAAAAGCTTGCCTGACTAATGCCATCAATATCTATTAGAACCTAAAAGCATGATAAGTTATAAACGTTTACATGGGGGTTAAATTATTTCACCAGAACAAATTATGAGGATGCTGCGCAAAACATTTTGCATTCATTTAAAGTTTTCTGCTACTCACCAGAAAACGAAAAAGTTTTATATAAAACGTATATATTGTTTGTATCTCAAATAAAAAATGGAATGTACGGTACATGTACATGAACGTGAATAACATTTGAACTATGAGTATAATGTACATGTATATAGTTAAACTTAATATAACATGATATTGATGAGTTTTAAGAATAGTTTTGTTCTTTTTTTCTCGTTTGTTGTATGGAGACACCACCACTTGCTGTGGAAAGCTATAAATACTTTGAACTTAAGGCCAATGAACAGTTATTGTTTTCACTAACACGTATTATAAGCTCATGTGCATATAATTGTCTATAACTAGCTTAACTTTGCTGCAATGCTTAGTTCATTCGTATTTGCTAGAGATATTTTATATTTTGGAATATACATGTACTACGAAAAGATAAAATTTCACTGATCACAATTTTATTCTGGTTATTATTAACAACAGATCTGTGTGATTTTGAGACGAGTCTAGAATCTTCATGTTTTCTGACAGAAACAAACAGAGATATCTTCAACTGGACTAGACACTCAGTATGTACAGTATTTGTACCTAACAGTTTGTATGAAACAAGTCGCATAAAATTACACCCAATATGAAAAGTTATATTTGTTAAATTCGTTATAACAAACATAGAACTTTAAAAAATTTGACTTTAAAGGAGGTTGTTAAAATCCATTTAACTGTTAATTGTATGATCAGTATTTTGAAGCACATTAAAGCATTTTTATCTAGTTTGGTTTATGTTTGTTCAAATCATGACTCCTGGATCGGAGGTAAGATGGTATCAGAACATGCGAACTAGCATAGATATTCTTTATTTATTTTTTCGTACTATATATTAAAAAGTCCATATAAATACATATATATATATATATATATATATATAATATAAAAAATATATCATATTGCAAGAATCCTCGTAGAAGTACAATGTAGTTCAGATTCACATTTCTGTAGAAAAGAGCCCTTGAGAATAGCTTGAGGGTCACAAAAAACACAAATGGATCACACATTTTCAAAATAGATTGCAATAAAACTGTTTTTAAAACTAGCAAAACAATCTTTAACCAGATTAATGAGCAAAAAACGCTTTCGTTTTATTAATTCATTATCAAAGATCTATATATGATAAACTATTTCGCCAACACGACCAGTGTGAAGTATAATACATTATTGACTGGGTACATGTATGAGGGCAACATATGATTTGTTGGACCTTAAAGTAAAAATGTCGCCCGAGGCCGCAGGACCTGAAGGCGAAAATGTTGCCCGAGGCCGCAGGCCAAGGGCAACATTTTCACCTTCACGTCCAACAAATCATATGTTGTCCGAACCCCAGTCTATAACTGTTTTGTTATACCCTTCAGTGCTCACTTAAGATTTAATCAATATACGCTATATTATTAATTACTTTATATGGGAAATTATGGCTTAATCTTTAAATGTAAAACAATAGCTGAGAAAGAATAAAATTGATTATATTGTTATTATATCACAAAAATTATTTATCACAAAACATTATTACTCTTCCCTTCTTCCTTACCTTGCTGGTAGCAATTATACCTCTTGTAACTCTTAACTTCGGCTATTTCTGTGTCGCCGATATCGAACGATGATTAATTACTTTTGACGTAGCAGTAACGTTACTCTAGTGCAAATGTCTAAGTACCGATACTGTATGGATGGATAAATAAATTCCGGCTGATCTCATTTAACCTGGGGGGGGGGGGAGGGGGGGTCACAAAAAGGAGGTGAATGATGGCATATAGTAAAAGGATAGAGTTTTGATAACAATGCATATTGTGAGATGAACTCAAATATGCGGTATTATCTCTAGCTTTTAATTATGATACTGAAATTACATGTAAGATGGAATAAGTTGAAGAATCAGAGGGCCATGAGGAGAGTATTTATATCTAAAAATCCCGTTGGTATATGAGGAATCAAATTATAGCTCCCATAAAGCAGTTTTCCTATCAACCAAATACGGCTTTATTATTTTTTTTACAAAGAGGCATATAAAAAGCAAAAGAACAACTGATAAAAAGTAGATTGATTTGACTCAGGTGAACGTTGTGGCATACATACTTTTTTCTAGCAAGCACTGAATTAACTTTCTGTAATGTGTACATCATTTATTAATGTCATGTTTCGAGAAATCTTGAATCGTAAAAGAACTAATTCACATTGAAATTCAAAGGGTATCACACTCTCTTATTCCACTGGTCCTGAAGCTGCAAAATCCGGCACCTACTACATGTACATAGAGGCAACCAATCAAAATTTTGGGGATCACGCACAATTGGTCAGCAACATAGTTTTTGAAGGTAAGTTTTCAGAAATAGAGAAATTGATTTCAACTGAGTTGTAACGGACACACAAATACATTTGTCTGATTGTTGCTGTTTTTGCCTTATTTCTGATTATTAATTTATATATAGATAAGACATACTGTCTTTCGATGTACTACCACATGTACGGATCAACGACCGGAACTCTGAAGATTCAGACCAGGACCGGAAATGACACGGTGGTGACTCATTGGGAAAAGTCAGGTGACCAGGGAAACCAATGGTACAGCATTGATAAACTTAATCTCCCTCTGAATAACAACACTGAGGTAAATTAATTTCATTAGAAATATTTATTTAATCCTTCAAGCTAATATTTTAGTTCATTTAAAGTTTGACTTCATATTTTCATACAAACAAAAAGCTATGCTGTATTAGCTGTCAACTATATAAAGTATACGTTTACATGGGAGGCACAATCGTTTGATGAAAATTGATAATCAATGCGGGAATTCAGTGACACACTAAGTATGGTTAAACTTATTTTCTTCTTTATTTATGAGCATACAAGTGGTAATATTTTTCATTTATTAATTATCTTTGAAAAAACTGTGATTATTTATATATTTCAGATAATCATTGAGGGCATCCGTGGACAAAGTTTCGAAAGTGATATCTCTGTTGACTACATAATGCTGAGGCCATTTCCTTGTGTCTAAAGACTTTCAATGCTTTCAACGTTCTAGAACTAAATTCTTATGAATGATTAGTAGTAGTTCTCAAGTAGTTCTAAAATGATGTATAATACTTTTTTTGGATTTGACTTCAAATGGTCTTCTCTTCTTTGTAATTATGTTCATTAAACTTTCCTGTTAGGCATGGTCACTAGCTTGCAGATATTACTTGTCCATAGCTAGGGAGAGCTCTTCGTAAATTTTATACACATAATGAATTGGAATTGCAATATGCAATCATCCTTAAAATAAGCATTGTAATTTTTATTCGGTATTGTTATATTCTATTCCAATATTTGACATTCATAGAGCTGAAGAATGCATCAGTGAATCGGAAAAATATACCAGAAGTAATCAAACTCAAAATTTTATTTAATGAGAAAAAAAAATCGAGAGCTGAGCACATTTTTGAAATTTTTATCAAACTCACAGTTCAATACAGATTATTTTATTGCACTACTTAGTTGTTTTGATAATAGCTGAAGGGTTTCTGTTATCAACAGGATGAAAAAATAAAAAGGGATTCCTTTTTGAAATAACTATCATAATTCGAAAATGAAAAGTTTTACAACAGGCATCAATGAAATACCACCTGACTATTTACATGTACATTCAGTTAAATAAATTTTAAGAAAATTATCTGTTATTTAGAATTCCTAAATGAATATGACTTTATTATTATACACACAACATAGGGCCATATTTTAACCAAACGTAACCTATTTACTGTTTAAAATTTTCGTTGAAACCCGACTCCAATCCTATTTGATCGGATTTGTTCACAATTTATTTTAAAAAAAAACAAGATGTGCTTTTGAAAAACTGATCAAGATGCCCCTTATGACAATTTTGGCTGGATTTACGTTTCTCAAAAAAAAAAGGAAAAACAAATTAAATGCGCATTCTCGTTTTTTATTTCATGTATTTATCATAATAAAAATTGCAGTAAATATAAAAATGAAACAGATTTTATGAGTTTGCAGTTTTAGTCTGACAAAAGATAACGAACGCGAGCTCTACAGATAAAAGTAATTAAAGAGGCTGATCAATAGGAATTAAACTTTTAAATCGGACGGTCCCACGAAATAGATCATGGGAATGCAGCTGCTACTTGCTTGTATATGAAAAAATGTATTTGGTTAGGGTGAATAAGGAACCAATGGTAATGAAGTGACCAGAGTTCAGATATTTGAATAATTTAGCTACAACAAATAATATTTAAAGATTATGCAAAAGATTGGAAAATATTTTAAAAGTGCATTAAAAGTTTAAAACGTTCTTAGGGTCAGAAGTAACAATAATTAAATTCAAATTAAGATTTAAAGTAATTATTGCAATTTTCGAGGAAGTAACAAATATGGAAATGTAAATCTATAAAGCTACACCTAGTATAAAATGAGTGGCCGGGACAAACAGGATTTCAGTGGAAAGCTGAATCTTGACTATCTTGGTTGCATTTTATACAGGTGAGATAATTTTCTAGACTTGCGCGGTTTTTGTCAAATCATTAAAATTTTCACATGGCTTAAATACCCAATTTTATGTTAACGCCCCCAAAATCTACCTGATTCAAGATCAATAATTTACCGCCTGTCAATCATTAAAAAAACAATAGCTTTTGATTTGATTGACAGGCCAGCTACCCGTGCTACCTGATAGTCTGAGTTTGTATCTTTTGAAAACGATTGCCTGGTCACGCGTCAAACACTTTCATGTAGCCGCCTTGTATACACAGGGGATAAACAAAAGAAACTTGGTAAAATTTTATTTCAAAAACAATTGAGAGTAGATAATTAAAACATGACTTCATAAAATATTTGCTTTCAATCTCCACGGCTATATTGTATTTTAGGCGATATGTCGTTCAAGATATCTGCTGTAGAATTTAGACCAGTCCGTGCACAGAAACGCTATTTGTCGATTAAAATTGGAATATGATAAATAAGAAATTAAAGATATTTAGCACAGACGGCACGGATAAAAAAAACATTTATCCCAAGTTTTATCTACGTATATAAGAATACAATCTATACCATGTTCCGTTGTAAAGTTCTGAAATGTCAGAAACAGCTAGGAGTTTCGAGATTGTAACTTTTAGTTCGAATTTCCTAACATCTGTCAATACCCAATATTCGAAATTAAAAAGTGAATATATACAGCCAAAGATCAATTCTTAAAAGTATAAAAGAAATCTTGCAAAAAATAAAAAAAAATTTAAACACACGAACACCCGGAAATGGTGAATATTTTCGACACTATTGTTGATCAGAACGAAGGCAATATTCCTATCGCGGTACGGTATACATTGTATGTTCACACGATGGATAGGCCTACCTATGATTGGAATATTTTTTTTTTTTTTTTTTGATATTTATAAGTTTAATTTTAAAAAAAATGTTTACTTTGTAGTTTAATTTACTCTGTGTTCTTTTCTTTAATTTGTCATTTTTTTTTTATATAAAAACGATGTTTCTTTATAACTTTTTATTTTCTTCATTAGATATCGCTGAAAATATTCATAAATAAATTTTATATTGAAATATTTCAATTATTTAAAGTAGTTTCACTCAAATTTAGACACGAAACACGGAATGTTGACCCTGATCACCAGACACAGACTTCCTGTGTACTGCTACGTGTATATAGATTTTTGACATCTTGGGTATTGGGGGTCTCCAGGTAAATAACACAACTGTTACTTGGACCTCTCCCCCTCCTCAGGTAACCGTACGGTAAAAAAATTGGGTCTTTAAGTTATTTACAGGTTACATTTATTATATTAGAACTAATAATGTCTAGTTTAATGTTTAGTATATTGTAAGAAATTATTAATTGTAATCATAACGATTACAAATAGATTGTTTAATTCATTAAAGATTGGATAGCTCAATCTTGAATATCTTGATTGCATTTTATACAGGTTGGGTAACATCTCCACTCCCAAACCATGGCAGCCGCCACGTCTTAGTCCTAGTTGGTCCTGCCCAGGGAGCGTCAGGTCTCCTGGCCTCGTCGATCGTCTGACGGCTCTGGTCTGTGTCTCGCCTGTTTTCAAGTCCTCTGTTCGAAAATGCAGTGGAACCGTCGGCTAATTCACGTCTGAAGGGGGGACTTAGAGGACTGTCACACTCTATTTCCTTTTATCTCAATCTGATCCCATTTCGCCACCATTTTTCATAAAAAATAATAAAAGGAAAATTGTTCTTCTTTGTGGACCATATGCAGATTATTTTATTGGCTGCATGGAACTCGTGGATCTCATTTCTTTTATTATATAACTCCTTCTAAACTCTCGCTTGGTTGTGAAGGTACCGGAATTTCTCAATTCCGCTATTTCTTTTATTTTATATTCCTTCTAAACTCGCTTGCTTGTGAAGGTACCGGAATGGCTCAATTTCGCTATATTTTCTTATTATCTAATTCCTTTTAAATTTGTGGACCAGAGCGGCTGCCACGGTTGGGGAGTGGAGATGTATAAAACCTGTATAAAATGCAACCAAGATAGTCAAGATCCAGCTTTCCACTCTTTAATAAATTAAACAATCTATTTGTAATCGTTATGATTACAATTAATAATTTCTTACAATATACTAAACATTAAACTAGACATTATTAGTTCTAATATAATAAATGTAACCTGTAAATAACTTAAGCCATGTGAAAATTTTAATGATTTGACAAAAACCGCGCAAGTCTAAAAAATTATCTCACCTGTATAAAATGCAACCAAGATAGTCAAGATTCAGCTTTCCACTGAAATCCTGTTTGTCCCGGCCACTCATGTTATACTAGGTGTAGCTTTATAGATTTACATTTCCATATTTGTTACTTCCTCGAAAATTGCAATAATTACTTTAAATCTTAATTTGAATTTAATTATTGTTACTTCTGACCCTAAGAACGTTTTAAACTTTTAATGCACTTTTAAAATATTTTCCAATCTTTTGCATAATCTTTAAATATTATTTGTTGTAGCTAATTTATTCAAATATCTGACCTCTGGTCACTTCATTACCATTGGTTCCTTATTCACCCTAACCAAATACATTTTTTCATAAACAAGCAAGTAGCAGCTGCATTCCCATGATCTATTTCGTGGGACCGTCCGATTTAAAAGTTTAATTCCTATTGATCAGCCTCTTTAATTACTTTTATCTGTAGAGCTCGCGCTCGTTATCTTTTGTCAGACTAAAACTGCAAACTCATAAAATCTGTTTCATTTTTATATTTACTGCAATTTTTATTATGATATATTTCTTGTGGAGCATAATACATATTTTCGTCATTCCTTCTTAAATCCAAGGTCTCTACACTGTTTAAATGACAAGTTTCAATGAAAACTGGTCCCCGGCAATTACTTGTCCGATTTAATAATTATTTGCCTCAAGGCTTTTCCTCTCTAAACACATTAAACTAACATTGCTTTAAATCTCCAAGGAGGAAAAAATATGGCGAGTGTTTATCAAAAGGGATTAGGAAGCTAGAACCTCACATAAGCTACTCTTCACTCTATTTGTTTGGTAATGTATACGTATATTTGATAGATGTAGATCCTTCATAACAATAAGAAAACAGCATGTTATCGTGTTTTAAGGGTATTGTACTTACTTTCCTAAGTTGCAGCATAAAAAATAAATATATTTAAGAAAGTATCAATATTGTGAACATAATCAAAATTCTGACGATATATATATATACACATGTATTGATATTGTATTATTTAGGAAAAAAATTATGGTCGTGTTCATGTGTTTTATGCCCCCGTTTTCGAAAATTTGGGGGTATATAGTTTTTGCCCTGACCGCCCGTCTGTTTGTATAGCTCTCTGTTCGTCCTTAAAAACTTTAATCTTGCCTACAAATTTTGATTGCTTGGAGCTATGACTTTCATACTTCACATGTTTTTTCTTGTCACAAGAACACAAAAGCCTTCTTTGGGGACCTCTTGATCTTGACTTTGGAATTTGACCCACTTTTGCTAGAAATTACCAAACTTTAACTTCAAACATACCATTCGAACAATTGATAC